GAGCATGTGCGGGAAAATAGTTCCACATTGCTCTCTAGTGGCGTGCTAGAAAATTACACTCTTATTAAGCATAAAGAGAAAACCTTCACTCCCTTTTGCTTTTTTAATTCACCCTTAAAGCATCTTCTCCCTTCAGTATGGTTTCGAATAAGGTGCCTCCATCATGATATAAAGGGAGATCAAAGCAATACATCCCACCAGTTAACCAGTAAATGAGTAATACTTCCTTTGTTGTTCAGGTATATTCAATTGGATCAAGTTTTATGGAGGCTGGAAAAAATGTTAGAATTATTTCCTCACTAGGTCCAGAATGCAACCTGACAAAAGCATAGTATCGAGTCCAGAAAGACCCCAGAAGATGTTAACAAGCAAGTAACTTACGAAAAGCATAAAGGAAAGCTCCTTGAAAAAGGCAGTGAAAGGGGTTGTGGAGTCTTCACAGGCCTTTGATTACCTGGGTCATTTTGTGTTACTTTAGAAAAACCAGTGAACTCATCTGAGCCTCAAATTACTACTTAACAATAAGAAAATATTGGATCCAAAGAGGGTGGCACCTGTGGCTCAAGGGAGTAGGGTGCCAGCCCCATATACCAGAGGTTCCAACCCAGCCCAGGCCAAAAACTGCAAAAAATAAAAACAAACAAACAAACAAACAAACAAAAAAGATCTTCAAGACCCCTCCTATCCCTAAGTAATATTCTTATACCATCTACAACTGCGTTGCAAATCTCTTCTCCTTTCCCAGGTTTAAGCTGTCAGTACTTTTAATTTAATTTTAAGGCTGACATCCTCTAAACATGGTTGGGATTTGTGTAATTTAGTGAACGGTGTAATTCATTCACCCAGGAGCTACTAACTTAGAAAGCTCCAGTCTCTTTGTTGGCATGCTCTGTCCCATGGCTGAACATCAAGTAAAAGAATCTCTCAAACAACTAGAGATTTGATGGGTATCAGTATTAGCAAGAGTCCAGATCGGAATGACAGTTGTCCCGCATTTATGGGGCCAGGGGAATCAGGAAATGAGGAGCACTGCTCAAGAGCAGCCACATGGCAATCACATTAACTTAAAAATGCAAACCAGTGAAATGAGAATGAACCAGTTAAGGTAATTTTTTAAAAATTTTCTTTCTTTTTTTTTCCTTTGGCATTTCCAGACTGGAGGCCAATAAGGCAGTCACATTACAGAAGCTTTTACAGAAAGTATTGGTCAAGGAGATATAAGCAGAACTGGAAGGCAGCGAAGGTGAAACACTAAATTCATTATGCCTTCCAGCTCTCAGCCTTGTTGTTTCTCATACACTGTGACCAAATCTCTCTCTCTCTCTCTCTCTCTCTGCTCTTCCTCTATCTCTCGCTGACAAAAAAAAAAAAACTAAACTAAACTAAACTAACCTATGAAAACACATACAAAACCTAACTCCTGAGCATTTGAGTTTGGAATTTCTAATCTCTTTCTCACTCCCTTGATGAATACAGATAAGTGCAGATATGTAGATGTGTTAGGTTGATCCAAATGAAATTTGAACCAGAAAAAAAAAAATCTCATATAGTTCAGAGCAAATGAAATGTTTGTTTACATTGTTGTTGCTCAAGTGAATCATATGTTTAAAATCAGACTTAGTCTCTACTGCCATAACCAGAGAGAATAATTTCTCCAGTAAAAAGGTATTTTTGAGACCTACCTAAATATATTTCCATCCCTTTCCTTGGATCTCTCTGAAGTTTTCTGTCTCCCATTATCCTTCTATCTCTCTGTTCTACTCCTCTTCACAGGCCATAGTTAAATGTCTGTATCGGCTGTAAGTCTTCTTTGAATACAAATTCCTCAGCTAGTTTTTCACGTCTGTAAATCTGTAGTGTTCATAAGCTCTATCACCTTCTCTACTGCTTAATTTTACATAATTTTTTATTGTTTCTCTGCCCAGCAATATGTTACAAATCTGAAAACTGAGGTTGGTCTTTTACAAGTAGTCTTGGATCTCAAAGAGCATTTAACACTTGTTGATTGATTATTTCATTAGTGAACTAGTTTGACAACATACATTTTCAAAAAAGAAATATCCCCCTTTTGAAGGGAAACAATTCACTGAATAGAAGCTGTCTGGATATATTAGATAAACTTATCTTGTTCTCGCTGCATGTGTCTCTTGGGTGATTGTGATTTAGAATGTCAGTATCTTTAACACTAATACTTAGGTCACATACTGGTTTTATGAAGAAAAATCCATGTCATCAATTTTCATAGATCCCTGTCAGAAATAAACTTACTTGTTTTTAATGCCTTTTTTGTTTACTATAACACCCAAGTACAGAAAACCACATGCAACAAGTATATGGTTTAATGAGGTGTTGTAGATTGAAGTTCAGCATGTTTCTTTGCCCTGTTTTCTGCAAACTGGCATTTCAATCCAGAGACTTGATCAGACTGAGCAGTTTTGATCCCTTTCACAAGATACTAGTGGGTAGTGCATTCTCTCATCAGGAGGTACAGAATGTCCAGTTGTCTCTCTTGACCTCAGCAATTATTAATGCTTGCTAGAGTTATATTCTGAGCTCACAACCTCAGATATTATTGCTCTTTTAAAATCTTTGTAAATTTATGCATTTATATATATTTGATGGGTTTTAAAACATTGCAGTTGCTTATGTGAACTCAGATTATCACACATGTCTATCTGTGGGAGCCTCTTCAAATTGGCCCCCAAATCCATTTGACATGATTTTATTAGTTTTTGGCTGCTTCCTTCCTAGCTAATATGTCAAGATGTTTGAGGTTCAACTGGTACATTTCCTGCTTGAGACCAGGAATCAACCTGCCCTGCCAGAAGCCCTTGTTTCTTATGTAGGAAGTATTTTCTTCTAAACTGTATTCTGTGTGCGAGGGACGTTTGTAGCTATTGAACCCCTGTTCCAGTCCTTTTTAGTGAACAGAGCTAGAAGAGAGAGAGAATACTTTTTGAGTTTAAAGTTATTTTTGCAATTTAATTTTAGGGAACATAAGACTTTATTTAACCTCTTCTGTATTACGTCTCTATGTCCTTTTGTCTACACCAAGAATCTGGTTCTGAAGGACACAGGGGATGATTGAATAAAAACTTGTTATTTGCTTTACCCATATTATGTTCATCTCAAAATAATAATAAAGGTATTATCATGAATCATTACTGAAGCATTTATTTTTGCATACAATGTCCCTATTCTCCCTTAATTTTGTCTTACAATAGTACTGTATCTACAATACAGAACTTGTAACCACTAAAAAATAGTCCCTCCCTCTTAACCTCCTCTTGGTGAGAGTTCATTTATTTATTCACCTGTTAGCTATTAGCTTGATGTCTCCTTTGGTCACTTGGTATGTCTAAAGCTCACTTTATAGGATCAGAGAACAGTATTACCCAATTGCTTGCAGATTGATATGTCAACTGTACCCTTCATATTAACTTTTTTTTCCACAAATTATTTGGATTATAATTTTCTTATGTTGTATATCTAAAGTTAATTACTCCAGCTTTTTCTAGCACGAAATGTTGTTGTCAAAAACCTTGATAATATCCAATGTATTCCCTTATAAGTCATATTTTTTGGTCGGAATGTCTAAAAGATTATTTTAAGACAACAAAATTTTTTTTTAATTACATTTTTTAGTATCTACTTTTTTCTCTCTCCCCCTTGGCTTTCTTCTTTAAGACCTCCTATTATCCGTGTGTTATATCTTCCTTGCCAACTTTAATATTGTCTCTTTCTCTCCAATTTTTTATTTATTCTTCTATATTTCTTTTTGGGGGTTTGTGCATTTTTCATTTCTATATATTTGTCCATAAACTTACCCTTTATTCTGAAAATTGTTTTTAGTTTACATATATAATTCTTCCTTGAGTCATGCCACCTCATTTCTGAGTTTTTCTGATTTATGTTACTCTTTCATCATATCTGGCATTGTTTTCTTAATGTTGTTTGGTTCATTTTGAAATAGTAAATTACAGTTTTGATGTATTTTTCTTGGGTACTTTGGTTCTACTTTCGATTTTTTTTCTTTTTGGTACTTAATCTATAAGAATGATATTCCCCTCTTAATTTTGTTCTCATGGTAATTTGGTAGGGAATTTTACCTCAAAAAATTTTTGTTGCTCACATTTATGTGACTTGTTTCCTTGCATTTCCAGAAGTTCAAGTAGCTCTTCTAAATACAGAGCGCTCCCTTTCCTGTTGTTTTTATTAGACCAGGGTTCTGCAAACTACAGGCTGTGGGTGGAATCTGGTCTAGGGCCTGTCTGTATAAGAATCCCAGAAAAAGTTTTTACATTTGTGTAGATTTGTAAACAAACAGAGATAAATATGTGACCTTCCAAGCTAAAATATTTCCTATCAGGTCCATTACAGATGAGTTCTCCAATCCCTGAAATGGACTAAAAAGTATTATTGCTTGCTTTCCCAGCTCTTGTGGTTATTTTTCTCTCCTACCTTTATCTGGACTTTCTTTCCCCCTCATTTATATGACTTCAGTCTTGTTCAGATTTTGCATCGATTCTCAGTAGTTTGTTCCCAGTTTGGTCTCTGCCCTGGAGAAGAAACTGCAGGTCACTTTAAGCATTTATATTTTCTCTCTTCAGAATCCCCTGCAGCACACGCCAGCATTTCCTGATATTTATTTAGAATTATTCTGTTTTCAGGTTTGATGCTTTCCTTTGATTTTTCTTACACAGACGTGGATAGCACACAGTTACATGACTATTGATTGGCCACATCCACTTGTACTTTAGAATTTGAGGACATAATTTATCACTTAATTTTTCAGTAAATATCTAAATGCTCTTGCTTTTCTATCTAGTGGTTCATATGGGGATTGAAGTTGCTTTCTTCCCAGAATACAACTCACTCATTTTTAAACAACAATTTACTTAATAGATTATATTAAATTTGTTTTCAGGAAAATGTTTACCCTAGGTATTTCAGTATACTAAATAAATCTACATGTTCATATTGTTTCTGTTTTTCTCCAGAGTCAAGTTCCCATTATGTAATCTCCCTAAAAGCTTTTAACAACGCAGGAGAAGGAGTTCCTCTTTATGAAAGTGCCACCACCAGATCTATAACAGGTAAGCTAAAATTCTCAGTCCTCTTGTGACAAGGCAGTCAAGGTTTGAGTTATGGTAAAAATAAATAAATAAATAAATGGAAAAATGCAAAATGAAACAAAATACAAAGAAAGAAACAAAAATGAATGCATGTAGTCCTCTTCAGAGCTCTGTGTATGCACACAATTTTTTTATCCCTTTCACTTTCAAAATTAAATGGGAAGAATTCAGTCTATTAATCATTATATGGGCTTAAAGTTTTCATGTCCTAATCCCACTCTTTCTTCTCTGAGCAGCTTATCTCAAATCAATGCCATTTAGGCAGAAAAGTCTGTGTATAAAGATTTCCAGATGATCAAATAAACACTTGCTTCTCTGCACAAGGCCCTTCAACTAAGATCAGAGCAGTGAGGTAGACTTCTGGAGTGGTATGGGCTAGGTTGACTCACATAGGTGGCATCTTTCTGAGGTGGGCCTACAGGTCATTGAAGGGAGTAGCTGACACAAGGGTTTGTTACCTCTAGGTATTCTTGTGTGAGTTGAAATATAAAGGCAGCACACAATTGCAAAAAAGACTCAAGCAGCTGAGAAGGGAATGGATAAGGCAGTAAGATCTAAGCCCTTTGTGAAGGCTATTATGTTTTTAGTATAGCCGACCTTATTCCAACAAAGAAGAAGTAATACTTCTGTGGGGTTATTCAGAGTCACTGGAAAGTCATGTGGCCACTCCCCCTACCCCATGGACCTGTGTCTGAAAACTTGAAGTAACTCCCAATAGTTTCAGCTCTAATTAACATTTTAAACTTGCTCTCCTACCAAAATCCACTACTCTCCGCCCTCATTTTACTTGAGAGCTATTTTCACCTGCGATGAATGAGAATAAAGGATCTGAGATAGCAGGTGCCAGGTTTGACTGCAAGAACCAAAGAACATGAAATATTGCTAGAGTTTGAAGTCCCAATGAGTAGAAGCAAGTGGTTAGACAAGAAATAACAAGGCCTATGGCTTTTGCTGCTGCCCAACTTTCTGTGAGCCTGTGCAGCTCATTTCCAAATGCACACATTGCATTTGTAGACTACCTCGCTATATGAATTCACAGTTGTTATGTGATCATTTCTGGAATATACCATCAATTTACTGATTTCAAGATTTTCTTATAAGACAAAGTTGTTATTTCTGTCTCCTTGAATCTTTGGCCATTTTTTTTTTTTTAACCAAGGTCTAAGATTTGCCTAAAGTAGTATATGAAGTTCTGCAGACATGTCACCATATTTATGCATGTGTGGAGACAGCCTATATCTTTCCTTATGTTGCCAAAAGGGCTCATGACTCCTCCAAAAGGGTAAATACTTACCCCATAGACTATTTGCTGTCAAATATATTATCTTCAGGTGGAGGAAGAAGCAGCAAAGAAGTCCAGGATGAAAACTAAAAGATAACATGATGGGTGGGTGCCTGGAGTTTTGCTTTCCCTTCTCCTCCTGCTTTGCCAGCAGCAAGATTCTCGGAGATTCGGCAGGCTGCTCTGGCTGCCTCGGTGTTCCCCGTAGCTTTCATTTCGTGTGCTGTGGTAGAAAATACTGAGAGGCTGCTCGTTGCCTTGACTACTTTGAGCCTGAAATCAGGCCACACCAAACAATACTGGAGTCAGATGTTTTAAGTTCTTTTTCTCTTCCGAAAACTAAAGCCCACAAGGAAGGACATGGAGGTGACAAACATCAGTTTTAAACAGAAAGTCATAGCAGCAGTAAAGGGGGCAGGGGTGAAACCAAGCGAAGGTCAGTCATCCAGAAAGAACCGTCGGAGGCCTTGTCAACGTCCCTTTAGCGTCTGTTGTCATTTTTTTAAATTCTCAGCATATGGCCTTCCCAGAGAGGTTGCTAAAACAACAGTGATCCATATGGTAATTTCTGTTCCTGATAGGACTCGAATCTTCGTGAATCTGAGAAATGAAATGGTTCCCAAAGTTGAACCTTGTGTGAGGGATTTTCTTACGGAAGGAAAGCTAGTTAAGGTGTTGAAGAGGAATGCATGAAGCCAGTTCTTTACTAAGGAAAAGTACACACTTTTTAAGGAGGTGGCAGAATTATTGTATTGTGTTTCCACATATCATGAAGAACAAAGGACAAATGCACAGAATCAAAGGTTAGGGTTCTAGGAGGAACTCTGTCAATAAAAGATACTCTCTGTCTCTAAGTTCTGGGAAGTCGTCCCATGAGAAGTGATTTTCAAAAGGCCAGCATAAAGTAGATACAAAATATATCATAGACAATAAAAAAAAAAAAAAAAGAGCACCAAGCTAGAATAGCATCAGACTGGGAAGCCTTCTGTTCATAGATGTTGGTGAGCTCCAGACCCTCATGTCACACTGGGAATATCCGTACTGGGGCTGTAGGAAGTTACATCTGGCCAAGTGGCATTAAAAGTTTCATTTTTGTGTGTAAGGCCATTCATTTGTTATTTTTACAAGAACTAAACATTTTGAGCCTGGGGAAGGGAGGGAAGCAAGTACCAATCAGGAGAATAATGAAATCTGTCTTTGGAATAGATTTATTATGAGATTTTTTATCAATGCTTAAATGAAATACAATCTAACTGTGAAATTGTGCTATTATTTTTAAAGCATATTTTGAATGATAGCATCATAACCAAAAATTCATGGGCTCCTACCAGAACATCTGAATTGAATATTTTTCTTTGGTTGCCAACATTTGGGGGCTATATTTTGTCCTCTTTAAAACTTTTTCCTCATCTTTCGAATGTTACCACTGAAAATCAGCAGCCTATCAGACACTCAGAAGGAGGAAGGGACAAAAAGGATCTGGAAGAGTTGTTTAGTGTAAAAAGAACGCTCTAAATTCAATTACTCAAATAGCTTGTGACCTGAGGGGGAAAAAGACAATTAGCAAAATACACAAGATAGATTCATAGTAGTGTTGGCCCCTCCTGGAATGTTCTGCTTTTCTGGAAATGTTCTGTGTCTGCACTATCCAATATGGTGAACACTGGGCTCACGTCACCTCTGAACACTTGAAACTGAGTAGTGCATCATAAGAAATGACTTTTTTAATCATTTAATTTTTATCATTTTGAATTTAAATAGTTTGTATACCTAGTGCTTATTGTATTAAACAGCACAGCCCTCACAGAAGTGCTGAGTAGAACAACAACACCTGAAAACAATAAGTCACGAAAATAAGAAAGAAAAATTTGGCCGAGAGCAGAAATGTCTGAACTATATACATATTTCCATTCATAAATGCCAACAAACACCATTGCTGGCAATTAGAGAAAAGCATTCTGGAACTGACTCCAAGAACCTCAGTAGTCACAGCCATGAATAATATACTATTTTAAAATCAGAAATAATAGGATTGACTGTCACCATTTCTTGAAATCTCTACATTTCCAAATCTTCTGTGCAGTCCCTGTGAAAAATAATTAAGCTAATATGTTTACCAATAAAACCGGATTAAGCAAAAGGACAGGACAGCAAAGAAAGTAATTCATTGATATAGTAGGTCAAAAAAGGAATTTATAAATGATACTATTTCTCCCAAATGTATATGCATTCTTCTTGTGAAGCCAGCCAAGAATAGAAACCAGTGCAGGGAGGCAGCACCTGCTTCAATTTGGCAAAAACATCTTCCACTGCTACACAAACTGAATGATTGGGGTCCTCGAGGAGGCTGCAGTGTCTTCTGTTCCTCCTTCATCATTTCATAAATCCATTTGGGTTTAAAGGAGCCCTTAATAAAAAGAGACATCAAAGGAAATACAGAAAGCCTCAGCTCTGTCATTAAATTTTAAACACAAATTTCTCTCTCTTTCTCGCCCTCTCTTTCTCCTTTTTCCTTTTGTTATTTTTTTTTTTAATTTATATTTGGCCCCAAAGACCACAGACCAGTAAACTACTAAATAATTCATTGGAAAAGAGAGCGATGAATAGAGGATAGACGTTCAAAATGGACAAAGGGAAACCAGCCAGTAGCCACTCTGCTTTGAACTAGGCTGTTTAAAAATATAAACTCTGTACGTCCACTGCCGCAGACATTGTGTGTGAGAGTAGGTCTCAGCTCCCCCCATGTGATCAGATGCCCAGCCTCAGAGCTGTGTTATCTCATCTCGGTCTGTCAGTGACAATGCATATTACAGAATATAAAGATAATTTTTTAAAGCATGAAATGTCTTCAAGTATAAAATAAAAAGTTGAAAATTTAACTATTACTATGGCCACAGAAGAAGTGCCCTCTGATTCTGATATTCCCAGCATAAAAATGATGGCAAGATTCTTTGGAGAATTTTGTAAAACACAGGTGTCATCGTGCAGATTCCCTTTCTGTGATGGATGAAAGCTTGTGTGTCCCTCAGAGCACATCTCATCAGTCTGTAGGTAGTTAATCCCATGTTCTCATTAAATCATGTGAAATCTGCCCACTGAACTTGAATGAGGAAAGTAGAATTCAGCAATAGAATATACATGTAAAGTATAGGAATGCCAGGACAGCACACTTACCTAATTACTCTGCGAGAGTGTGGATAAAATCACGCTACTACACGTCTCCTAGCATTCCAATCCAGGAAGTCTGCCAGGCCAAGTGCAATCTGAAATGTGATTATCAAATATGTAACTGACTCATGTTGACTGCGTGGACCTGGTCAGTCTGCCTTTGGGCAATCACAAGCATACACAGGTTGCTGCCCAGGTCAGGGTGCTTTGTTCTTTACTGTTTGTTTCTTGCCTAAAAGATATTTATGCAGGTACAAGAGAAGCAAGAAGGAAAGCATGAGAGAAACCCCATCAAGTTAGAGAGGGGGAAGTGAAAACAAAAAAACAAGTGTCAGATGAGCATTTATTCGTAAGAGGAAATAAACAAGAAACTCCTTTTCATCTTATTATTTCATCTATACGGTATAAAACTGATCAGTTCTCTACTAGATGTTTTAAGAAGCAATGTGCATCATTCAAAAAAAAGAATGGGCTTTAAGAGATATATAACCGGAAGTGACAGCCACATTGATAAAACCACTCTAAATGGATGATTAAATCATATTCAATTATTTCTGTGATACAGCAATATTGTTTCTGATGTGTTTTCCTATTGAATTAATTGCATTCTTCTCTGTTCTTCTCATGTTCCCTTTCATCATTACTGCCATGCATTTAACTCATTGTGCTGTGTTACCACTGATATTTATTTTGGAACGCTTTTATTTATGTATCTGTTTGTTTCATTTGGTGGGTTCTTTAACCCAGACCCCACGGACCCAGTTGATTATTACCCTTTGATTGATGATTTCCCCACCTCGGTCCCAGATGTCTCCACCCCCATGCTCCCACCAGTAGGTGTACAGGCTGTGGCTCTTACCCATGATGCCGTGAGGGTCAGCTGGGCAGACAACTCTGTCCCCAAGAACCAAAAAACGTCCGAGGTGCGACTTTACACTGTTCGGTGGAGGACCAGCTTTTCTGCGAGTGCAAAATATAAGGTGAAGTTCTTCTAATTGATAGCATGAAACTTCGACTGAACTGCTGTTTGTTTAATTTATTGCTTTAAATGCTGCCTGGATTGCCATGAGTCATTTTGCCTCAGTGACCCTATGTTTAAAAGCAAAGCATTTCAATAAGTCAATTAGATTCCCATCTCTAAAATCAATGTGGGAATAATTGTACTTTAGGAAACAATCTAAGGCAAGGCAGGATAACAGGAAGAGCAGCAAAGTGTTATTTGAGTTCCACAAAGTGCTTAGTTTATATAAATAATTTGATTCTGTTCAAAGGAATGTCATTTTCCCTTTAAAATAGCAGGACTCCATGTTAATTTTCTGGGTAGATTTTGGTATCTTTCTTTTAAATTGGAATCTAAATTGAACCCTATTGATGTCAGAGAGACCCACCTTACAGATAATACGACTGGAATAGGCAACTTGATGATACTTTTCATAACTTCTTTACCACTCAAAGCCATTAACATCTACTTTTTGATTTAGCCTTGCAAACATTTTCATGTGGTCAGGAAAACCCACAATCCAC